TATGCCAACAAAATAAAAACAAAAAGCTAAAACGAACGATGTCTTGCTCGGAAGGTACTATCCACCAGCTAGGTCAACAAACACAACCAATGCCAAGGTCTTCCAAAAATGGGAAGGTGCCTATTGACCGTACTGTGAATGCTAAAGATACTTCCATAAAAATATCGAAGAATCAGACTGCTACCAACGCACCTTTCACCAACAGATCACCTAGTCTTTAACGTAGATAAACCCACCCCCACCCCTCGCTTCTAAACATTAAATCAGTAACAACAGATAAAAACGTCTCTAAACTCTAAAAGAAAATCTCAAAAGTCAAAGCTGTCCCGCTTCTTAATTTATTAAACTCTGTTCAAACATAATATTCAAATATTTTTAAACTCAGGTCACCTACAATTACACAAACAAAACGTCCGTACACTGGAAATATAGAAAATTACCACCTGTATTTGTAAATCTAAAGAAATCAGGGACAATTTGGATGGAATGTTTTATATTGATTGAATTACGTGAGTTCAGTATATTTTCAAACAGTAATTGAAGATCTATTTTTAAACTCTCCATAATCAACATTTCGTTTCGAAAGCGGAAGTTGGTTGTTTGCTAATTTAAATGGACAATAACACTCTTGCTGGCTTGAAAGCTCCAGACAATAAAAACTAGCCTTATTCTAAGTACTAGATGTGTTAGTGCCCTACCTGTTGTGTAAATTATCCATTAAATCCTATTTTACTTGTCCAGAGGGTTCAAAAATATTTTTAAATCCAAGTCACATTTGAAAAGCTTTACGTCAGGCTTTTCAAATCATTTAGTTGAATTTTACGAATTTTTTAAATTAGGTGTGTTAAGATGAAATTTGTATCATCAATTAATTGGAATATTGAGACATATTATTCAGTTACAACAAGAGTGGTATTGAGCCTTTAAGATTTGTTGTCAGTCAGATATGAGACAAATTCAATTGAAATTTCGTTTTGAAAAATTAAGCAAAAGATTTTTGTTTACTCATTTTAGTTTCTTTTTAGTTTCGATTGTTGAACACAAAATCAGTTAAATAATTATTGTTCAATCAGCTATTTATTTTTTTAAGTTATTTGACAATTTGCCCTACAGAAATTTAAAAAAAAAAATGAAATTATAGATTAGTTTTAAACCATGCACTTAAAGGTGGGTTCCCAGAAAAGTATTTATCGGGTGGTTATTTCCAATAAAAGTATGGCAATTTTGGTATATATGGATTCCCCGAAAAACACTCATGGAGCCCGACGATTAGGAATTACTGCACGCGTGATGTCAAAGGTCACACGCGAACATCGAGCGCTTGATGTACACGTTGATAAACTTTATGAAGAGTTAGACGTACAACACTTTTTGAGATAAAAATGACGGAAAAAGACGCGGGTAGTGGATAATCCGAGGATTTAATCAGAATTCGATATTTGTAATAAATAGTAAGCGATTAAAGACAACAATTCTCCTCTGACTTCCACGAGAGGTAAGTCACGTGACGTAAACATGACATGGTTTGATCGAATTTTTATAGCAGGGATTACAATGTTTGAGAAGGATTTGAAGCAAAATTATGACAAATTAATTAGTTCGAATATGTTTTTAGTCCATATATACCATTAAATCACCAAGTTTGTACGCAGGAATGTATCTTTAAATACCCGGTGGGAACGTGGAAAGTAAGTTCTGTGTGGATATAAAGGATTAATTTAAAAATGAAAGACACTCTGATTTTAAACAGGAGCTCTCCAATTGACACGGAAATTCGACCATATTGGCCCCATTCCACTCTAATTATGCATGTACGTATTGTCTCAGCGCTTCCGATTTGATCAAATTCTCTAGTAATCCCCATGGCCTCACACCAAACACGACATTGTCTCCATCCCGGACCCTCTCGTGCTAAAATTCCTGGGTACAGCCCTGTTATTCAAATTTTATTTCGTTTAGGTCAATACATCTATACGTTATCGCTTGTGTTGAAATATTTTATGAAGAAAGACTTGTATGTCTATAATTTTAATTAAAATATTCGACATGTTGATCCAGTCCAGATATCATCAGTAATATTTGTTTGCACAAAATATGATATTTTTATGCGCTACTTATACGCTATCACATACAAATTTTCATCTCCAACTGCGTCAAGTTGTCGTGACGATGATTGTCGCGGCCCCAGAGAACTGTTATTGTTGTATAACAATGGAAATTCTAGCTACGGTCTAAGTTATAATATCCCACTAAAGTTAAGTCTCCGGGTCCTTCACAATAACTTAATACCATAAGATAATCAGATACGTATTCAACAAACAATAAGATAAGCAATAATATACCTTCTACACATAAGCCTTTTTGGTAAATAGCAAATCACGATTTAAAATGAAATTTGTATGTACATAATAAACTGATATTAAACAAATATGAAATTCTTATAATTAAATAGTCAAATTATATTCAAATTAGTAATACGATAAGATAGAATAAACGATCCGATTTTATATACTACCATGTGCAGTTATAAGGCACACCCAGTTTTAAAAAAAAATGTCCATCTTTGCCTTACACATGTTGTAATAATATATCGTGGTTTTCTGGCTAAATCTATTTGTTAAGGCCAGCTCAATTTTGTCAAGGTCGCTGTGATGTGAATAAGGTTAGGGCACGTGATTCTTGGCGAGATTGTAGGTTAGGGTTAGGGTAAACATTGGGGCTAGGTCTAGGGTTAGGTTTAGAATTTGGGGGAGAGGTTACGTCTCCACATAAGCACTGACCTAGGATGATGAAAAATTAGTTCGTGATATTTCCTAGTTTAATTAATTAAAAATACATTTATAGCTAGATTTAAACACGGTCGGCTTTGCGGTGATATATAATTGGAGCTTTCAGAAACAATGGAAATTGGTATAGCAGAGCGTCCAAGGCTATTCTTTTATGCCGATTAGACTTGTTTTTTTGTACATACGATCTGTTATACATTTATAACATAATATTGATACAGTGACGAGAGCCTAAATACATATAACTACTGACTAGAAAATATATTCCAACCACAGAGCTATAAAACTGTCGTCTTCATTAGCCCAGTCGGAGCAGAACAGTAGGATGTTAAACCCCCATTTCATTTCATTTCGCTATAAAACTGAATTTAATTTCACATTTAAAAAGTTGCGATACGTTGCGATACGCTGACATGTAAGACTTTCGTTCTTATTGTATTAATTGTGATGCAGGACGGAAGGCCTGACAAGGACAGCTGTCTAGTCGTTCGTATTGGACTAAAAACCGAGGTCCCTTATACACCATGGCGTGCACGTAAAAGATCCCTTGACAGTAAAGTTGGAATTCGATATAAGAGTAGGCCGTAGCGCCACTGACCGGGCAACATTTTCCTCATAGCACACTGTATGGCGTATGCCCAGTTCGGAGCATAACAGTAGGACGTTAAACTCCATTTCATTTCATTTCATTTATTTCTCTAGGCCATAAGAAATAAACATTTTCAGGTTGCATTCGATGATAAATATTCTGAAGAGAACATATCTTTTATTGATATCTTCAAATCTATTTCTTCCCCAACTTATTCACAAAATCGTTGACCATCTAATAATCATTACATGGAAATGTTCGGCAGATGATAATGATTTTCATGACCTGACTGTCAATGTGAGGAATTATACCTCAAAGAGAAGTTCATTTTGTTTACTGACCGTATATGGTGGGGTGAGGTATTTGTAAATCTAAAACTGCTGGAATTTTCAGACTGGTTATAAGATAAACTCAAAGTAATTACTCCCGTTACTGGAACCGTATACACCAAATGAGTGTGCGACCATTCTATTCACAGAATATCCGGATGGGTTATGTTTGGTTCCAATAGCTGCAAATTCTGAACATCTTCACCTGATGGGGTTACGCATGTACACATAATACACACCATTTAATATTGAAAAGTTTGATTTAATTTAATTATAAAGAGAAACACAACCGACAAAAGGACAGTCCTGTGACCAATTGTAATATTTTTTTTTTTTTAAGTCGCATGTTATGATTTTTCTGAAAAAGATTAAATATTTAAAAGAAAAATTTGCCTAAACGAAATAATTTCCAAGATGAAACGAATGAGCGTGTTTGAATTTTGAACTATTTAATAAGAAATCAAAAGTCTGAGAGAATTCAAACTTGAATAAGACGTTGGCTCGCCAACTGGCGGGCCCGCGTTCGATTCCGGCGTTGGCCGAGAAAGTTCATTGTGATTTCCAGATGCAGTTCTCCCTTGTCAGTGATTTAGGACGGAGGGCCTGGCAAGGGACAGCGTGTAGTCTTTCGGATGGGACGAAAAACCGAGGCCCCGTGTACACATTGCCTTGCACGTTAAAGAACCCTTGGCAGTTGGAATTCGAAATATTAAGAGTGGGCCGTGATTGGAAGCTGTGGCGGCTCAGTATGAGTATGACACAGACCCATTAACCAGGTTCGGTGTTGGCCGAGAAAGTTCCTTAATTGGGTTTTTCCAGCGTTGTTTCCTCTTGTCAGGTGTAGGACGGAGAGCCCGACAAGAATTAGTGTCTACTCGCTCGGATAGTTCGAAAAAACGAGGTGTCGTGTTCACGACTGGTGTGCACGTAAAAGGAAAGAACCACTGACACTAAGGGTTCGTACAACACGGTTCTTAAAACTTTTGTCGCGCTGGCCATGTTCTGAATTAGGAATTTTCACCACTCTCGTCAAACACATGTGTTTACCTATGACATATCCTATTTGATATTCAAATATTTTAATAAAGGTAGCCAATATCAATGAGGGGCCTGTTCTTTTTTCAACTTTAAACTTTTATTCTCATTTCATGGACGGCCTGTGACTATTATATATCGGGATGTTATTAAGTAAGAATTTTTCATAAACAACCTTTACGCATGACTGATGTGGACGTAGAGGATTTACTGTATAATACTTATAAAGAGTGACAAATTATGGGACTGATTTACCTGTATAGAGAAAAGGCTTGACATAACAGACTCACTTTCATTCCGATTATAACTGTTGTGGATAAGAATTTGGTTCCCATTATCAATTAACGTTTTATACCATTAGTCGCTTTTTTAAAAGGGATTATATACACAGTTCAAAATGAAGAAATTATTTATGATGGATTTGATAGTGATTCTAACGGCTATTTTGTTAACGGTAAATGGTATCGATATTTCCATGGATCATGCGGAAAGGTATAAACGTGCTATTAAACAAGACACAAGCAAATCAGTATTTACAACACAGGAGAAAACCAATCTAGAGAATAAACATAATACATTAAGACGAATTCCTTCATCAACCAACATGAAATATATGGTAGGTATATAATTCTAAGCTTTATATAAGTCAGAGTATGGTAAAAAAAAAAAATAGTGATTGTTTATTACAAAGGGAAATTTTCATAAAACACTAATAACGACACCTACCATGATTGCTAGACTTATTTCCCAGATCGGTTAGACTTTTCATTGTGAATTCTGTTCTGTGACAAAATAGTGATCTTTATGTATAGTTTGGTGCTGATACTCTATTTGATTTATTTGTAAATGTTTAAAAATTAATTAATAAATTTTATCCGTTACAAGTGACTTCCACTGCTAAAAAAATATTATAACAAAATGTGGGGTTTAACTTTCTACTTGTCTGCACCAATATAGACATGTTCGGGTTTTACAATATCTAGACGTTGCTAGATTGCTTTGCAATCTCCTCGAACTTATAGCTATTATCTTCCTTTGCCGCAGACACTTGGCCACAGATCACTAAAGATTTTCCCATTGACTTTAATGTTAATTCTCGTCTCTTAAACCGGTTCTAACTTTTTCCCAAATTTTCGTTGGCTAGAACGCTTTCTGCCACAGACGGAGCAACATGTGTTTAACTCTTGCCCAAAAGTATGTATGAGGTTCACCATGTAAAACTTGACATACACAAGCTGGAAGTAGAGACAAGTAAACATGCAATTTTCAGTCCAAAATTTCATCCTAACCAACCTCTCAACTCTTGTATCATTCGGCCTCAAAATCATGAATATTCACCAAAACCTGACAGAAAATGTATTTTCAAACCCTTTTCTTCCATTCTACACCAAAAAGCCAACAAAAATTGCCATTCAAAAGGTGGAAAAAGGGAAAGGGGGATAAAGACTAAAAATAACTTTGGCCCTTGTTTCGTGGGTGACGGCGTAGAGATATTTGGTGATCTATGTCCACTTGAACAGTATAGCGTCTAATCAGAGGTTGTGACACATACACGCTCAAATCAAACTTGGCGACTTCAATGGAAACCTTGGCATTGAACGAACTTTGAACTTTGCAACTCGATTATCACAGGCAGACATTTTAGCTGGAAAGCGCGAGACTTGGTATTCGCGATGATCGAATAATCCGATAGGCTCTCAAGTTGTGTCGGTATACCCAATCGAAATTAGTGCCCAAATATGCGGGGTATTACGTGAAAGGCTTGATTTATGTGTACGAAATTAAAGCAAGGTCACGACTTCTAATGAAGATGTAATGAAGACAGACATACGCCATGTAATATTGTGCTATCTAGGCTCAAAGTGGAGTAATTTGAATGAAATTTTCAGCATATTCTTTTTTCGTTATATATTTATAAACCATTTTAGCGAGAACTGCCAGCTCTTGATCTGATATAGATCTTATGGCCACAATTTGTTTTAATTAAATACATTTTCGTCCAAACATTCAAATCGATCAATTCTACCTTGAGATACTGTGATTTGAAGTTTACATTTGCATTGGTTTCTATCAATTTCACAAATCCAACTATATATGTGAGACAATAAATACTAATAATTCTGCAATCTTTTTTGTACAAACGAATCTTTTTTAATGCCCGGAGATGCATTACTTTCGAGATCTATGTGATCGATCTGCATCGGCTTTTTAAATTATGACATTGATGAAGTTCAAGATCTTTGATTGGTACAATCCCTTATAACTGATCAGTCTTCAATGATTATGTATACATTTAGATTAAAACCAACACCCAGTCCAAACTCGTCATAACTGGGTGGGGCAGCATGCAAACTTTCAGAATCTTTAGTCTAGAGCATGATTTCTATTTTCAAATTTACTCCCAGTACTCATTTCACATCATCAATAGAAAAGGAAAGTATGACATAGGGTACCTGTAAATAAAATACGATGAATGGCATTATTGATCTAGAAATATCCACATTCACGCTCGTGTATGTCACTAAAATAAGTTCACGTTACAAGTTTAAAATTTAGAAATTGTGAAGATATGCATTTAAAACTATTCAACTGTGCGATTTACTTCTTCTGTCGAAACCTTTTCATGTTTAATATAAAAATTTCATTCCAATATTCAAAAAAAAAAAAAAAAAAAAGGAACGTAATTCATGCGATAATTCAAATTCTTACTCTAGAGTGCATTTGGATTTTGAAAATGAATGTATATAAAAGCCATATTTTTAACATTGAAAGACTTTATTAAAAATCACTGATACGAGAATTTACAATTTGAGGTGATAGAAAATTATTTAACTCTGCCTTTGGGATGGGGTGGTGTGGTTTATAAGTTGTACACATGTATTTTTCAACTCTCTTTCTGGTTGATCTTTAAAGTAGCTAAATCTCTAACTCAATATCGTCCAAAATCTTCGACATTGAAAACACGAATTATTTGTCAATTTAAATCAGCATTGATGTTGTGATCTTTCCGGGAAAAGATTGGCTTTTGGTATCCAATATTTAAAGATGGGTTCCCAGAAAAGTATTTTTCGGGTGGTTATTTCAAATAAAAGTATGGTAATTTTGGTATATATGGAAAGTAGAGATATCCAATCTTACTAGAAAAATACTGGATTCCCCGAAAAACACCCATGGAGCGTATACAGGACAAACATGTAAGTGTTCTCCTAATCAACAGCCCGACGATTAGGAATTTCTGCACGCGTGATGTCAAAGGTCACACGCGAACATTGATTGCTCGATGTACAAGTTGATAAACTTTATGAAGAGTTAGACGTACAACACTTTCTGAGATAAAAATGACGGAAAAAGACGCGGGTAGTGGATAATCCGAGAATTTAATTAGGATTCGATATTTGTATTAAATAGTAAGCGATTAAAGACAACATCGTCTTATGTATAAAATGAATTCTCCTCTGACTTCCAAGAGAGGTAAGTCACGTGACGTAAACATGACCTGGTTTGATCTAGTTTTTATAGCAGGACATTCCTTCGCAATTACAATGTTTGAGAAGGATTTGAAGCAAAGTTATGATAAATTAATTAGTTTGAATATGTTTTTAGTCCATATATACCATTAAATCACCCAGTTTGTACGCGGGAACCCATCTTTAAGACAAAATAAACATATTACCATTGGTACACGAATAGTGTACCATAATCCGTTTCAGCGCCATTTGTAACAAGGGACTCGAAGAACGAGGCTAGACATATTCCACAAGTCATGTCAAACGGTAACGCCATATTTTATCTGGAAAGCATTCGCAATCAATACTATCAGACGCTAGAGATTGCCGACGTATTTCGCGGAACATAACTAATTAAAAATTACAGTAAAACAGAAACGATTGAATGTAAATCAGTTTAAATACATTTATATTACATTATTATATACGTTGCGTCAATTTCTAGGTCCTAAATATTAGCGATTTAGCTCCTTTAACGTCTAGTTCCACAATAGTGATATCACAGGCAATATTTTTTTTAACCACAAAAGGAAATTTTTTATACTTGTTTTTGTTTTATGCTCCCGTTGCAAAGTAGTCAAAGGAATACATAACATAGTTGTCAGTTTGTCCGTCCTTCCATATGCATGAATGGGTTACCATTTGAGACAGTTCATGGAACACTATACAATCTCATTTTATACTTAATGATTTCGTGTGAAAAACTTAAGACTATTGAAGACAATTTTATTTGATTCCAAACTGTATATCATTTACCAGTGGATAACCGAGGTCCCGAGATCACATTGGCGTGCACGTAAAAGATCCCTTGACAGTTGGAATTCGATATAAGAGTAGACCGTAGTGCCGCTGTCAGGGCAAAATTTCCCTCACAGGACACTGTATGGCGTATGTCCGTTTTCATTAGCCCAGTTCGGAGCAGAACAGTAGGACATTAAATCCCATTTCATTTCATTTATATCGGGTGATCGTGTTTCTCAATCGGAACCGGGTGTATAAAGAGTCAAGTTCGGTCCAATTATTTTCATAATTGATGTCTATGCATACATCGTTCGATGGAAATTAATCCCACCTGTTTTCTGTATAGTGATATGTATTTTAGATAAACAGTATTATAATAATCCTCAACTCTTCGGTTTATGGTTTTGTAAGATACTTACTCGGACAATCATGAGACGGCTGAGTTCATTTAATACTAATTCTACTATGCTTGTTCTGAAGGCTTGACTTATCTTTAAAAGCTTAGCAATAGCGAAAATAGTTGTAGGAATTGTCGTTAAATACATACTTATGAAGTTATGTTTTCAATAAATAGCTTTATGATAATATTATTGAAAGCCTGATAACGATAGGTACCGTAGTATAATTATAATCTTATCCACTTGCCTAGTTTAATCGTCACCACACCCCACAGATGGCCTAGTGGTCTAGAGTGTCACGCTTCGACCTCTAGTTGGCCGGTCACCTCTGGCTTGCGGCTGTGGTTTCGATCCCAGGTGTGAGCGTATGTGGCTTGGAGATAGGGGCGCCTTCTCAACCTCGTGGGTTTACTCCGGGTACTCCGGTTTCCTCCCACAGCAAAGACCCCTGCGCGTGCGCTAAATCATTAAAAAAAAAAAAATGAACTTGTCTGCGATATCACCTTCGGTGGAAGCGGACGTTAAACGCTAAGAACAACAACTTACATTCTTCTATTGGTGTTTTACGTCCGCTTCTAACGAGGGTGATATCGCAGACAAGTTATTTTTTTATTATCTTAGCGCACGTTCAGGGTTTGTTTTTCTGTGGGAGAAACCCGGTAATCTGAGACTGCGATGCTCTCTAACGTCATAAAAACAATTCTGGTATGCAAATTACGCCATAAATTGGTCGGCTTCATCTATCTATCTATACTAATATTTGTGACTGTCGTTTGTCTGTCTGTTCAGGGATGGCGGCTACACTAGGTCTGCCCCGAGTCTGAAATTTGGGGTATAGGGGTAGCTCGGACCGGGGAGTAACAAAGGCCAGGTGGCGTTAGTCTACCACTTCCGGTTTCGGGGTTATGACCCCCGAGCGAAGCCGGGCATTCTTCTAGTGGAGTTATAAATAGATCAATGACATTAACTTCCCGGCAAATAGTCGATTTAAATGCATTTGACATGTCCCACTTATACATATAAAATGTGCCACAAGCTGAAAAAAACGCAAGTACATGCAAACATGTAAATAAATAAAATGGTTTCAGTGTAGAAGCGAAAGTTCTATAGCATTCTTCTCGATAATATGTTTCTAAAGGATTTTCTCTCTTGCAATTGTCTCATTGGTATCAAAAGATGTAGGAAATAACTCTACGGAACAGGCTTAAGGTTGGTAAGCAAGCCGTATACCTTGCTTGGAACTTGTGCTTAGATAGAAATGGTTCCACTACTGATGTCTTCCGCAGTAGTGGCTCCACGTAACTAACGTACGAAAATTAATTGGTGGCTAGCTTTTTTTTTCGTACGTATACAGTGAATGGCCATTTTGTTCAGTAATCCCAGCCAGAATTTGGCTATTTTCTAAATTTGCGTTAAAGTTTAAAATATTTGTTTTAGAACTGAAATAAATTAACTATTAGTCAATCACAACGCAAAAAACATCAACAGAATTGATTGTGTATATCTGAAATAGACACGACCGACGCACAAAATAGTGCCAACCATTCGCAGACGCTGTCATTGAAGACAAAGTCAATTCTATGAGTTGCAGATGTTATTTTTGTGAAAAATCATTGGAAGAAGAGAGAACACGTTGGGAATGTACGAATTATATAGTTTTTATGGGTGCAAAGGACACAATGCTGAAGATAAACCTATTGTTTACAATTTAAAGTGTTGTTGACCTCATGACCTGTGATGTGTAGATCACGTGATATGGATATCATGGCTATTGACTGTGTCTGAGATACTTCTCCGCAGGTAGCGTGTCTCAAATGTTCAGAATGTAGTGGCTCGTCCTACAGAGTTCCTTTGTGCAAGTTTTTTAGTCAAATGACTACAAAAAGGTTACTGGCCTATAGCTCCCTTAATTTACACATAAACTGCCCCAAAACAGTACTGCACATAGCTTAACATATAATAAATCAATTCCCATTGAAATAAAGGTGAAGCCTTACCGCATAATTATATGATTTGATGAAACCCAACTGCTACGCGAAATTTGAACTGGCAAGGTGTCATGGCGGCTTGCGTAATACGTCATTACAAGAAACATCGCTATGCAAATGTAGAACGCATAACCACAAAGAAAAACTGTTCGGTAACTATTTTAGTGGTCCAGTCTTCACTATTTGTCATAGAATTACTTATTCCAATACAAACTGTAATGATACGTGTTGACAATTGTGCGTTTGAACCTATTCCCTTTATGGTGATTTTTGTCGTCCAAATTTAAGCTCCCATACCACTAAAGGTAGTGATGAGTGAAACGTGATAATATTCAGGCTGCATGCAGATGCTGCTCCCTTGAATTTACTATACAATCTACTTGAACTTGTACAATATAACTGTTTATCTGGACAAATTTCGTCAAATCTAAAATTGTATTTGTTTAACAACCGACAAACACCATTTACTAACATTTAACATTTGGAGGATGAAATGAATACCAATCAAAATGCTTATATATAAATTTTCCAGTTAAAGGGGCGAACTTGATAATATTTTGGAGAATAAAACTGCTTAATTTTGTGTTAAAAGCCCTTAAAATCCCCAACCGTAGGACCGAGCAACTAACTCAATATACGTGATACGTTTTCAAACAACTTAAACCCGTCAGTCTTCATCTGGAAATGGAGAAAGGTGTCCCAAGCTGTATTATAAGTTGACTGGATAAAACCAGACTTTATAAAAAAAATAACTTGTAGGTGAAATTTACCTTTCGTTATCAAGTACAGCTCGTGAGACATGTACTCTACAGACCTCTAAAAGAATGGCAATCGATTATCCGGTCACCCAACGGAAAAATTGATCCGAAACCTAAACGGGTTACGTGTCCGGATATGTGGTTTACACGTTCACGTCCAAACGACTCGATATTTTGAGCTGAAAGTTTGAGACAAGGTAAATACACCATTCCTCTATATTTTGGCGCTTAACTTTCATACGTACACAGACTTTTATTTTTGAAACTCTGTTCATATCGGAATTATCCCTTTAAATTGATGACGTGATTTGATAGTTTGTGACGGATAGTATATAGGTTATTGATTCAGACTTTTTGCCAAACCGATCCCTTACGTTTTCAGGTTACATGTTTTCAAGTTGGTATGGGCTTACATCCCATAGAATAAAATACCTAATATAATGAGTAAAAGAGAAAAAGATATAAAGAAAAGTGTATCCTAAAAATGCACTGCGGAGTTTTTGTATAGCAATCAATTCAAGCAAATTGCTACATCGTTTCCAACTTGTCAGGTGTTCTGCCAAATAATGTATCGCCTGGTCGTTAAAGGTACGAAAGGAAAACACGAGGTCTAAAATTTTATGTTATGTCGGATAATTCGAGACTGTTGAATACGTGGCTGCTAAATATCCCTATTTCATGTTGCATGGTTATTTCATAAAATCGTTCACAATCTCATACCTGTCTCGATAGTATACTCTATAAGTGGTATAGTCCAATGTAACCCATACTCCTCCTCATTTAATTAGACCTTGGGGCCTTTGTTTCGGGAATATGAATGTATCCGGGTGTTTTTTTCTTTTTCTCCAGAAATGGGATACAACTTTGGAACAGATAGCTACTGACCATGCTGCTCTCTGTGATTTTTCACATAACTCTGACCGTACTACACAGGCACAGATATTTAGCAGTGTTGGTGAAAATATATTTATGCAGACGGGTGGATATGATGAAGAGTCTGCGGTACAGATATGGTATGATGAGGAACCTGATTATACTTATAGTACCAATGAGTGTACCCCTGGTAAAGCATCTGGACATTACACACAGGTGTGTATTGTTAATGATGTAACCTTCCTCTGAACGTAACAACAATCACAATCTGATTTTAAAGCAAAGGCCCTATTTCGTTTCGTTTTTTATAGTTCAAAATTTCGTTATTTGTCTGTACCACACTAGGATCTGGAAGACTGTCTTGTTATATAACCTGCGTATTTTAATCAGATTGCAGCAATCAGTCCTAAATGTGTACAGAAGGCTAGTTTGGTCTTAAAAGTCCTATCTACCGCTTGAGTATTACATGTATTCAAAGGGAAGTGGGGTGCCAAATCGTAATTACTTTAAGAAGACATGAATTATCGCCCTTGGTGTGGGAAATAAATTTATTTTATGTTACAGTTTCGTTTTGGATCACCACGACTCTTTACTCAGTTTCGTTGAATTTTTCCTTTTTCATCAAAGGCACTTGATCAAAGCGCAATATTATATTCTTTATATATATATATATATATATATATATATATATATATATATATATATATATATATATATTATTATTATTATTATTATTATATTAGCTCAGCTTACAAGATTGTTGTTGCTTTCGTTTTTCTCGCCTAAAGCTAACCGAGTATAAAATTACTGTATACGGTATTGCGAAAACCTTGAAAAACGTTGAACAATTTTCTCAAATCATTCCATGGTATTTCAAAAATAATACTATGTAAATTATATTAATAATTGTAGGTTGTATGGGCGGATACCGATAATGTTGGGTGTGGTATAAAGTTTTGTACAACACTGATTATGCCTAGTCCATCCCCACCAGCCTCAGATGCCTACTTTATTGTTTGTAATTATGCAACAAGGTAACTATTCTACTTTCAACACACATATTATTCTTTTATATTGTTTCCTATAATTCTAAGATTAAATCTCTAACGCAGGAGGTGTGGCCAACTTGTTAAATACCATGAGTCAATTTGTTCACACAAATTCAGATGCCCCATGGAACTCTTGTACACTCGTCCACAAATTTGCAAATTTTAAAAAAAACAAACAGCAAAGAACAACGTCGTGCGTCGTAGCACGGCACATGGGACAATATCATTTATGTTATCTGAAAACAAATTAATAGAATATAACGTTCGCTAAAAAGGATGTGCACGTAATAATAAAATCGTTAAACATAAGGAGCTGGCTAACTTTATTATTAACACAGGGGCGCCATGCGGACTTTTAATCATCCAATGCGCCCAAGTTTGGTACATGCGCCGGAGGTTTGACCATCCCAACCCTAATTCGCCAGGAATCTAATAACGGATGTTCTTATTTAAATTTAACATCTGACTAACGTCATGAAATCAACAGAAAGTAATGGGACCTTTATGCGTTATCATTTAATAAGCAATATGCTTTATCACAAGATTATTTTTTGAATGTGTAAGGACTGGAAGTCTATATTTGGCTTTCAATAAGGAATATGTGGCTTTAAATAAGGTTTGTATTATACATACAATGTCTATAATATTTACAGTGGTAACTTTAACGGACAGAAACCATATTTATTAGGAACACCAACATGTTCGGGATGTTCGCAAACTTTTACCTGTTTAAATGGATTGTGTGCAGGTGAGTAAAAGTACTCTCTTAGTTTTTTTTAAAGTAATTGATATTATGAGTTCGGAATAGTAATTATTATATGGAATTATTATGTGTTCAGACTTTTTAGATTGTTTTGGTTTAAACGTATTTCATCTAGCTGCAAAACAGAATATTACAGCTTGCAGTGAAGTGTGTGAGAGAGAAATGGACTTTAACGTCCTTTCGTAACAAACTAAGATATTTTTGGACTAACAAATTGTTTCAATTGTTTCCAATAATTTGCTTGTGCGTAATGGTCGTTCGCTGTGTGAGGTTGGACATATGCGATCCGTCTCCTTGTCACGTACAAGCGAGGAATCGAAACCACGCCACTCGACCCATCTTAAGATATAAAGCGGACACGTTAACCCATTCGGCCACCCAACGCCATTTATAGTGAAGTAAATTTGAAAGTAATTATTATAACACAGTTCTAATGACAAAAGTCACAGTATGACGTTTCAGACAAAAGTTTTCTTATTATCTTTAAAGTTCCAGAAACCACAGCAATTCCGACTACAACAACACCAACCACAACTCCTGCCACGACCACGCCTACAACAACGGCGACAACAACAGCTACTTCAACCACGCCAACAACAACACCCACAACAACGCCTACATCAACACCCACCACGACTACACCTACAACAACACCTACTACGACCACACCTACAACAACACCCACTACCACGCCGACTACAACAACACCGACCACTACTACATCGACCACTACAACACCCACTATAACCCCTACAACAATAACACCCACTACCACGTCCATTACCACCCCAACAACTTCTACTACCACAACCTCGCCGACGAAAATAATCACAACTATTTCCACGACAACAACTCAAAAACTATACATTATAAGAGGTAGTGCGAGTGGTTTTGATCATCTAAGATCCCCTAGTTTGTGGATTTTTGTAGTGCTGATACTTATTCATATCCCCCTTTAAATGTAGTCAAGAAACATAATGTAAGTGGTAACAAGTCTATATATACAAGCCAGAATAATTTTTAGTCATAAATCAGCTTTTAATCATACTAAATGTTCAATGTGCACATTTAGAAATTCTAACAGTTTAAAATCTGGTACTTCTTCTTTTATAATGTCCATTGTTTATCACTCTATAATTTTGCTTACTGTCAACTATGGAAACCTGTTACGGTCTTTTTGAAATCTTAACGACTAACTCCTTTCTCCATGATATCTCAATTCTCGCTTTCTTGCATTTTAAAATCCTTGGCTCCTCGACTTCTCGCTGTGAGAAACTGGGATTATAAAAGAGTCGTAACAAGCTTCCATCGTACCACAGTAAACAAACTTTATTTTTGTTAGCCTACCAAATGCTTGAAATATGAAGGTTTGTAAAATTCCATAAGTTTGAAGATGACCATAATATATCATGTTTAACTCCCTGCAAAGTTTGGATATGGTTTGTTTTAATAACAATGATTAACAATAGTGTTTCTTTGATGCCGCTATATGTTACAGGGGGCAATAACTCTTAATAAGATCTTAGGTTGGGACATAAATAATTTAATCGATGTAGACTACTCCATTTGTGACATAAAACCACAGTTGTAGATTAATTTCCTATCGCAGGTGGGGCGGGAATTTTTATTACAAAAATACAGCTCTTATAAACTTTAATCGATTAAATGCCACTATTAGAACGCCGGACAGCGCTGAGACATTATCCCTGCACCTAATCATCGGTTGCCCATTTCTTTCTCCGAGGATCACTTCCACCAACGCCGCCACCCCAGTTGTTGACAAGGCTAGATCCGCGCCTTGAACTGTATAGCAGCTAATTAGGGTTTCGTGTTCCATTATACTAATCACGAGATTCATATCGATTTAATAATTACATACTTTAATTTACCCTGAATATGATTTAGATCTAAACAGATTCTATTTTCAATTTATAATAACTATTTACACACATATATTTACACGATTTTTGTATACAAATGTTTATAATAAAACAACCATTTTAAATAATGTCTTTATGCATAGCAGGAACCGATATGTGGTGTCACGTGACTGGAAGTATTCTGTAATACGGGGTTTTGTAGATTGGGGTACATGTTGGTATTATGTCCGGACCAGTAATTTCCCGGTGAACCTAGGAATCCTGTCGTGACTTGAGGGACGGGTGAATACGGGTTTGTAAAATTTATTTTCGAGCCTGTGTATCCGGGGAAAAAGAGATCTTGGTGTCTGTATGGTGTGGGATCTGGCGTCGACGGTTGAATAGCCTGTGCCAAACCAGCAAAGTCAAACTTGTACGCATATCGCTTCCCGTGAACTTTGGTCATAATGTTTTTGTCATAGTAGTATCTTAGAGCTCGGCTAAGTTTATCGTAGTTCATATTTGGTTTGCTCTTCCGTTCTCCCCATCTTCTTGCCGTTTCATCGGGATCAACAAGTTTAAACTCGCCATTTGTTCCTTCCCACGTTATACACGTGGCGTTACGACTGTCTGATAATAGCTCCAATAAGAACTGCCAAAGTTGAATTTGTCCGCTTCCTGAAAATTAAAAACAATTCTTCAAAATATATATTTGAAATAAAATAACAAGAAACATCATTAAGCATAAGCGTAGTGTTGTAATGTGTGAAGAAAAGGACCTGAGCCGTTGATTATGGCAAGGGAGGCAACCACGATTTCCAATCACCCCAAGTGATAACCCTTACTTGAAGCCATTGTCGAAGATAAACTGGGTTGTCTTCCTTGTATTGATTTACTTTAAAATTAACCCTAAAAGATCTCTGTTTAAATGGAATTAATCAAATGTGCTATAAAATGTGACACTGAAACCGGATATACGTCGTATCAAAAAACATGATAATCCCTATATAAATAGATTATTAAACAACATTATTACCTGTATTGCATAACCTGCTTGATAAATGGCCAAATAATTTATAAGGATCTGAAACACAAAAAAGTAAATGAGAAATTTCCAACATACAATAGGTAAAAACGGTATCTATAGCTGAATTCCATCACAATTTAAATAAACCATGCACCGTATAGCGATGTGTTATCCCAAGCCTTGCGACTTCGTGGCTTTCCCGTCAGAGACTGAAGATGCCCTTTTTGATTTCCAGAGAGTATTGTTCATATTACCTTAGTGGCATTTACTAATCTCGTTGATTTGATTGAGATAAAAATATATCGAATATCTGCACAGATATTTTACTCTACATCCCCGGTGTTGGCTGGTGCCACACTGATCCGCAGTGAATATTTGCTAGGCCGCGACAATCACTGATAAGGATGACATCGATGCGGCTTAATGAGCCAGTAATATTAACTTTTTTCCTGAGACAAATTAAATTCTAAAACATTTTTTGTATGTATTGGAAAAATAAATAAAGGCGTTTGACGTATTTGTAGGTAAAAATTATTTCCTATTTAGTGTAAATGGGTATTAAAATGACTAAAATGCAGCATTCTTTCCGAAGCAGTAACGTGTTATGTAAACAATGCACGCGCCATTCAGCCAATGATTGACGCCGCGTGCTGTGACGGCACGTGTTAAGGCAGTCATCTTTGACAGAGATATATTACTAGACTCGTAATTCTCTGTGAAACAGATTGGGCTGGTGCATGTTCCACCAGCGCAACCATTAACAGACGAGCAGTAATGGTAGGCAAGGTTTTGGTAATGCAGGCGCTAAGATTGGGATGGTCTAGTGTTCTAGAGTGCCGCGCTTCGACCTCTAGCTGGCTGGTCACCTCTGTCTTGCGGTTGTGGTTTCGATTCCTGGTGTGAGAGTTTGCGGCTTGGAGATAGGGGCGCTTTCTCAACCTCGTGGGTTTACTCCGGGTACTCCGGTTTCTTCCCACAGGAAAGACCCCTTCGCGTGCGCTAAGATAATGAAAATGAAAAATAAGACTTGTCTGCGATATCACCTTCGGTGGAAGCGGAAGTTAAACATTGAGAACAACAGGGTGTCACGGTGATATATTCAAATGGTTTTAGAAATCAGATAAAAATTGTTACCCTTTAGAGGGACCACAAGCTAAAATCACGATTTTTCGTACATTCAAGGGCCATAATTCAGGAAGTTACGATCCGATATGCGCAAATATCGACAGGAACAAAGATCTTTGGGTTATAAACATACATTTCAGGTTTTGTCAAAATCAGATAGAAATTGTGACCTCTAGAGTGCCCACAAGCCAAAAACGTGATTTTTCGTACACTCAGGGGCCATAATCCATGACGTTTTGATCCGATACATGTCAATATCGAAAGGAAGCGAGATCTTTTGAAGATAAACCTATATTTCACGTTTCGTCAAAATCGGATAAGAATTGTGATCTGTAGAGTGTCCACAAACAAATTGTGGACGGACGTCCGGACGTCCGGACGGACAGGGGCGACGACAATATATCTCCACATGAAAATGTGGGCATATAAAAAATGGGTTTAGAAGTAAGATGATCTAACTGTCCTCCAGGGAACATATCTTTAATACAACCATACCTTGAGTTCGCCAGGCTGGAGGAGTTGTGTCTATAATAGACTTGGTCATACCAGTGTAGGTTGTAGCGCCGTAACCTGAAATGGGACATTAAAGTAACAAATATTTATTAACATCCTGATACCTTAATTCTGGTCGCCATTTGTATTTTCGGACAATATCTATTCTAGCTAAATTCTTTACCTAACATTTAATTTAAAGAAAAAAAAATCAATATCAGTGGTTGATAATCTCCCACCTTGAATTCAATTGGATTAAAAATCGGTTCAACAAAAGTTTATTCGTGGCGCTGGCTTCATTTTGTCATATCCTGTTTATATTGATAAACGTTTAATTCATCATATTATCTTTGTACTGACTGGAAATGAATGATTTTTGAATGATATTTCTTTTAGACACCCAACTTTCACAATATTGTAGTTTGTAAGGGATTCAAAATCACTCAAACAACGATCATAAACTTTAAACCAATCAATACAATATTACGAGTGCAAATGTGTTATGCAGTGAAACAATTTATATAGAAATATCATTTTCTAGCTCTGGGGGCCACGGTGGCTCAGTGATTAAGACGTTGGCTCGCTAACCTGGAGGTCCCGTGCCCGATATCTGCGTTGGCCGAGAAAGTTCATCGGGATTTTCCGACCTCATTTCGCCCGGTGGTGCATGATCAAAGGGCCTGGCAAGGGACAACATGTAATCGTTCGGATGGGACGAGCACGTAAAAGATCCCTTAGCAGTTGGAATTTGATATAAGAATAGGTCGTTGCGCCGCTGTCCGGGGAAAATTTCCCTCATAGAACATAGTATGGCGTATGTCGGCCTTCATTAGCCCAGTCGAAGCAGAATAGTAGGGCGTGAAACCCCATTTCATTTTTTTTCATTTGCTAGCTGACAACTGGGCTTGTCGTTTTCGCAAGAGGCTGACAACAATGCATGCGTAAAATACAAATAAACTACCTCTTGAACAAGTATTAGGTGATTGTGACATCCATCCACTTTTACTAAAATCACTTTCTGGAACAAATAAATATATAAAACATTCAGAAAATAATCATTTCGGTAAGAAAAATATAAAATATTCTTATAGCTATGTGATCTTTCCAGATGAAAAGTATATTGCTATGTTAATCATGAAATTTCTCCCCTATTTCAGTCATACTGATAAGAACACATTCCAATTTAAAATGCATTAAATATACATTATGCAAGAGCTAAATCTGCCTATTGCAGGTCTTTCTTATCTAAATTACTAATTAGACATTTAATTTAATTAACTTATCAAGACCATAATCAACGCTCGATGTCTTGGCTAGCCCGTGATATTTACTGGATTTGAATCCGATCTGCTGCTCAACGCTCATTGATGATTAAAACCAAAATGGATAATCGAGACTGTGTTTTTTATCGTAACGACTTTAGTAATGATGATCGAGGCTAAGCCTAAAATTCAATCGCTATATCTCAGTTAAGAGTGTAGCAATTTGACTGAAATTTTCAGCATATTCCCTTTATAGTTCTAGTTTTTAACTATTATTGTGAGAACTACCAGCTTTTTATCTAATCTCCCATAATGCCTCCTTTATTATATACTCTTCAAAAAAAGTAGGGGATACAATACAAAACTGCGGAAATGCACTGCTGTTTTTATTAGAGGTAACCAGTATATGCTAATAACAGGCCAATTGCCTACACATGAACACAAACAGTTCATATGGGCGGCTTATCTGGCGGCCCTATTTCACTCGCAAAGAGATACACTGTCAAAAGTGAAAATGGACGTTTTTGTTTTGTGTCTTAATGAGTAATTGCTCCACCAATCCTCAGACATTCAGCAATTCGACGCGGCATGCTTCTAATCAACCGTCCAATCACGATTTGGGACAATCTGACCCACTCCTCTTGCAGTGCCACGGCCAATTCTTGCAGTGCTGTCGGTTGACGTTGACGTCGACGAACACGTCTCCCGATCAAATTAAACGTAACACACTAAAGTAAAGGTACGCTAAACAGTAAATATTATGCAAGAACCGATAGGTAAGCAAAGATAGATAGGATAAACCAGCAAGCGGCAGTTTTCATCAACCCTTCCTTGAAGTGTCAAATTTGACAATGAACCCCTTCCACGTGTATGGCGCTATTGCGTGTCGCATGTGCAGCTCAGTGGTTCTGTTGGGGCGATATGTTCTTCATCTGTGAACATACTCTCAAAGTATGTCAAGTGTCCATGACTATTTATCATATGACAACCTGCATAGGTATTTGCATTTCAATATCCTCTACTTTTTTGAAGAGTATATATTTACAGAAAAGGTAGGACGTTACACCCCATTTAATTCATTCATTCACTCGTTATGTTTATTCGGTTAAAAGCTTATTTTAAGCGTGGGATATAGCCATGGCAGTATACGTTGGTCCTTGATTAGAGAAATAATCAAATGTCTGGATAATCAATGCCTTACAAAAGATTTCGCGGAATTTGCTGTTTCGCGAACGTCCTGCGTTTGGAAATGAACTGGGGTTTAAGTAGCTCCTTTAGGAACGAACGGTCTTTGATCGGACGATGTCCGCTGATCGTTCCTATCCGTCCCTATATAGCTGCAATATGAAAATACCGCTCTTCCCGACCTCTGTTCTAAGGCTATTTTGGAATCCTTACCTTCTGTTTTTCACCGTGATTTTTAATTTTCGCCAAAAGGAATCATTTCTCGCCATATCTGACACAAATTTATAATAATTTAACACTATATCAAGTAGAATTTTGGGACCAATCGGACTTATGACGACGAGTATATGGCATGCAGTTTGTCAGGACAACGGCGTTTCCACCTTCATTAAATTCCAACTGTCGAATTTTTTAGATTCACGCCAACGAGTGTCAAAGAGGCACTCGTGCTTTCATTAAATCATTGGCAAGCTATCCGTCCTGCCCCACTGAAAATGGGGAAATCAGGCTGGAAAATCCCGACAACTTTCTGGGCCAACAACTGAATCGAACCCGGAACCTTCTGGTTAGTAAGCTAGTACGATAATCACTGAGCCATCACAGCACCTGGTTAATATGGGGTCGGACAATCACAATCTCCCCATGTCTGTTCGCGACTTATAAAGCTATATCACTAGACGAAGATCAGTTTGAACAAACAACCGAAGATTAAACGGATAATTTTAATTAGACTGGTGAGTTACCTGTTCTTGTCATGGTGGTCATTCCATCTGCCATATTAAAGGTTGGATAACTCCAATGATTATGTGTTGTATTTGGTGTCATGCTACTACACCCCCTCTCTATATTATCACTGGTCATTGCTGGCAGTGGCAACTGAGCTAAAAAAAAAAAAAAAAAATAGAAAGAAATTTTAATATAGAAGACAATTTTAAAAGCGATGACGTAAATTTTGTAGTGCTGGTGATAAAAATAGATTCACGACACTGAAAATTAAAGCAGGACTTTCGATAGAAAAATTAATTTTTGACAAACATGTTTCCTATTATTTTGTTGTATTTTTTGCAATTTTCATTTATTTAATTTAATTTTTTTGTTTAGGGAATATACTTATAATGTCTAAATTTTACCTTAAAATTTTGTAATTTTGAAATTTCCTTATTTGTATAAATGTGTCTAATTAGTTTTATCTAAATCATCAAATTCAATTAAGAGATATTAAAATAATGAATTATATTTTTAACCACAGAATAAACATACTAACTCGTGAACGCGTTCCCTTTAAACATAACTAGTTATAATTTGACCATGGCAGTGCTGTTTTGATCTCTATTGTATATTGATAACGACATATTATATGTCATTATCAATATAAACTGGAAATTTATATCATGCCTGTCTCCCAACGATGGCATAAGATACCTTCCTTGTCCACAGCGTGCCACAAACATTATAGACCATAATACTAAAAATGTCTATCGCACAAGTTATTTATCACAATTTGGAGGATTTCATTCTTGTGATAAGCAACATATTAATATCTAGAATAGAACTTTAGCTAGGATTACTCCTGCTTTAAATGATGTATTTACTCACGTTACATAAAGAGTAAATGTCTGTCTATTTCAATCTTTATCGATCAATCATGTCTTTAATAAATAAATTAGTCTGAGAAAAAACAGAAGTAAACTAAAATACTCACACAACAAGATTCTAAATCAATACACATATATAAATAATTTAAACTTGTTAAACCGTCAACACAAAATGCAGTGAATCACGAAATCCTACAATGATTGCATGATAATGCTGCGATTCCCGACTCATCTATAGTTAAATGATGAGTTTTTAATTAAGATTAATTACATTAAACGTTTCCTTTATACCCAATTATTCATTCATGATCTCAAGCGAGTTGAATATTTTTTTTTCTATCCTATCTATACTCATTATAGAGAATCAGTCGCCCCTTCCTTCCGACTTTAGTACAGTTGAAATATCATTGAAGTTCATTGTCTGCAGGTTTCGAAAGAAAAGGGGTATTTTAAATAGCTAACATAAGTATTTTAAATTTTTATAAGAACTTTATAAAAGTTTGCAATTTTTTATGGTTTTAATCGTTAATTTGACATTTTTATATTGTGAAAAGTATACTGAGTCATAAGTTCTCAGGAATAAATCCGCATTAAAGTAGCTAATTTCAAAATAACATTTCTTCCCAGACTTTTTAAAATATCGAATTAATGTCAACTGACTAGACAAGTATCCGATATTACATCAGCAACTTTGAAAATGAATTCGATTTTTTTATGGGGTACGTCATATTCATTTTGTAAAATATTGTAATTTTATCCTTAAATTTCATTTTAACGGAATATTTGAAACAGCCTAAAAATAGTAATCAGTTCTAATTTACATTTAAAACAATGTGGAACTATACACTGTTGTCCAGGATTCCTGCAGATAATATCTTATTAAATATTCTCCTTAAACTCCTGCCTTTACTTTAGGACGAATCAAACCCATAGTTGAATAGGGTTACACAATCAAAGAATGAAATTCCGCATAATACAATTTTTTAGATAAAAATAAAATGCATTTACCT